CAAAAATTCCACCAGAAAACATCTAGAATAATAAATGAATTCAGCTAAATAGCAGGATATAAAATTAACATTCATAAATCAAATGCGTTCCTATACATCAGTGATGAATACACTGAAAGAGAAATTACGAAAACTACCCCATTCACAATAGCTTAAAAAAATACCTGGGATTCAATCTCACTAAAGAGCTGAAAGACATTTACAATGAAAATTATAGGACACTAAAGAAAGAAGTTGGAAAAGATTTTAGAAGATGGAAAGATCTCCCATGTTCTTGGATACGCAGAATTAACATTGTTAAAATGGCCATACTACCAGAAGTGTTAAACAGATTTAATGCAATTCCTATTAAAAGTCCAATGCTATTCTTCACAGAAATAGAAAAAGCAATCATGAAATTGATTTGGAAAAATAAGAGACCCAGAACAGCCAAAGCAATCCTTAGTGAGAAGAGTGAAGCAGAAGGCAGCATAATACCAGATCTTAAATTATATTACAGAGCAATTGTAACAAAAATGGCATGGCATTGGCACCAAAACAGATATGTAGACCAATGGTAGAGAATAGAAGACACAGAGACAAACCCACATAAATACAGTTATCTCATACTAGACAAAGGCACCAAAAACATATTTTGGAGAAAAGATAGCCTCTTCAACAAATGGTGCTGGGAAATCTGGAGATCCATATGTAATAAAATGAAATTAAATGCCTATCTCTCACCCTGAACAAAACTTAACTCAAGTTGAACAAGGACTTAGGCACTAGAACAGAGACCATGGGCCTAATAGTAGAAAAAGTAGGCCAAAATCTCCACCATATTGTGTTAGGAACTGACTTCCTTAACAAGACTCCTAAAGTGCAAGAACTAAAATCAAGAGTCAATAAATGGGATGTCATCAAATTAAAAAGTTTCTACATAGCAAATGAAACAATCAGTAACATGAAAAGAGAGCCTGCAGAATGTGAGAACATCTTTACCGTATGCACCTCAGACAGAATATCAATCTCCAGGATATATAAAGAACTCAAAACTTAACAACAAAACAAAACACACAACAAATAATCCAATCAACAGATACTGATCTAAGGAACAGAACAGACACTTCACAGAAGAACAAATACAGCTGATCAACAAATATATGAAAAAATGTTCAACATCTCTAGCAATCAGAGAAATGCAAATCAAAACTACACTGATATTCCATCTCACTCTAGTCATAGTGGCAACTATCAAGAATATAAGCAACAATAAATATTGGCAAGAATGTGAGGGAAAAGGAACACTCTTACTTTACTGGTGGGACTGCAAATTGGTGCAACCAATATGGAAACAGTATGGAGATACTTCAGAAAACTCAGAATGGAACCACCATTTCACCCAGGTATCTCACTCCTTGATCTATATACCCAAAGGATTTAAAATCCGCATACTACAGTAACACAGCCACATCAATATTTATAGCAGCTCAATTCACAACAGCTAAACTGTGGAACCAACCTAGATGTCCTTCAACAAATGAATGGATAAAGAAACTGTGGTGTGTGTGTGTACACACACACACACACACACACACATACACATATTGAACTATTACTCAGCCTTCAAGAAGAATAAAATTATGGCATTTGCAGGTAAATGGATAGAGCTTGAGAACATCATGCTAAGTGAAATAGGCCAATCCCAAAGAATCAAAGGCTGAATGTTTTCTCTTATATGTGGATGCTAATTCACAATAAGGGGGTGGGGTAACTGGGGAACAGCAGAGATAGTTTGGATTAGATATAGGGGAATGAAGGGAGGGGAGAGAGTATAGGGGTAGAAAGGATAGTAGGATGAATTGGACATTATTATCCTATGTGCATACATGATTACATGACCAGTATAACTCTACAACCAGAAGAATGAGAAGTTATACTCCATTTATGTATGATGTATCAAAATGTATTCTAGCCATGTATAGCTAATTTGAACAAATAAAAAAGTTTGAATTTAAAACAAAATTTAAAAATTCATTAAAAAGAAAAAAGACTCATATTTCTGGGGAAGAATAATTATTATGAATGACCTTATCTTTAGTATTTGCTTTTCCAAATCATCTACAATGAAGTGTATGACTCTTATGATTAAGGAGGAGAATATTCTCTGAGATGTTACTTAGACGTATCAAAAATATTTAAGAAATATAAGTATCAACCAAAGAAACTATACATAAATATATCTAACAGAGCTTAAAAGTACCTAAGTGAATTCTATCTGATGGTAAATTTAGAAAGATTCCTTTAGAGTGTGCTTTATTAGATAGACTTTGAATTACTACTGTCTGATGAAAGAAATGTGTCAATTGATTATGCATCATAACTTTTGCATGTAAAATACATAAAAGATTATAATACAAAACCAATATTTCTGTGAGTATGCAATTTACTTCCTCTTACACCTTTTCCCCAAGCATTTCTGACCTCAGAGTTCATTAACAAGTCAATGTTTGCATATGTATGGGGAGTTACAAGAAATACAAATGAGCACCCAGCACCATAGCTAAAACTTAGGAACTTTAACCTTTGCTTGTAAAATGTGACTAATAAGGAATGGTAAATCATCTTCCTAGAGAAATAAACCATGTGTGAGCTATAAAAGTGTGTCAAAAGGTTTGTGTTACAGCCTTACTTCCCTTCTAATTTCTGATGCCTTGTGTTTACTGTTCTATATTTATTTTCCAATTTTTAAAAATGAAATTGTTATTTTTAAGTAGCAGAATTGTTAGAGGCTCAATATAATGCTTCAAATATTTGAGAAAAACATAAAGATTAAAAAGCACTCCAAATCCCACATCCCAGAGATGGCTATTAATCTTTTGGTGGAACCCTTCTGGATCTTCTCTCAGGTATATCTTAACATACGTATAGAGGTATTCCATATAGATGTAGAATTTATAAAAGGAATTGTAACATTTTGTAGTGTTCTATAACCTGAAAGACACTTATGTTATTTCTAAGCTTTTAATTTTGCAAATGGTGCCATAATGTACATACTTGTACACATATCTTCACAGATAGACTTACTGTACTTTTAAAAATACCTGAAGGCTTTTGGAAATTCTAAAAATTATTTATTCCAGAAATTTTCAAAAAAGTATAATGTATAAAAACAAAATCTTAATAATATGAATCCTATCAGTGTGCTTCCCTCACTTAACCTATATCTTCCACAGTCATCAAGTATTATACAGCAGCTTCTTCCTTCTAGCTCTTCTGGAGAAAAGCCCTGGAATCATCTTTGGTTTCTCACTTCTTTTAAAAACCTTTGTCCTATTGATTAGCAGAGTCTATTAGTCCTTCTTAAAAGGATACAACCAATTCTCATCAGCTTCACCCATATTAATCTGGATCAAACACCATCATTTCTTGCCTAGTCTAAGAGCATTGAAGGTATGAAAATTTCATTGATATGGCTTCAGATTTCACATTGCAGGTAAACTTCAAGAAATAAAACTCGTCAAGTTTTTGGGTAGTATCAAAGAAGAATATTCACAATTTTCTGAAAAGGCTATGAAAATATTCTTTGCTTTTACAATTATGTATTGCTGTGAGGCCAAGTTTTCTTCATATACTTCAAGTAAAATAACATCTTGTAATAGAACTTTGTGTTGACAAGAGGAGGTAAATCAATCGGCTGACTTTTATTAAAGTTATCTGCAAAGAATAAAACAATTCCATAATTCTCACTAATTTTTTTGTTGCCTACAAATACAGTTATTTTTAATGAAAAATCACATTTATGTTAACATATGATGAACCTAATTGTTATCTTCAAGTGAAGGAATAAATAATCTCAAATTTCTCAGTTTCACCTACTATGGGAAATACTGATAGGTATAACTAACAACCACAAGTGAGCCAATGCTCTAATGGATTCCTTTTCATTCAAAGTAAACTCTAAAATCCCTATTGTGGTTCATAAACTCCCTATGTGATCTGCATTTCTGACCCCTGAGTTCATTAACAAGTCAATGTTTGCATATGTATGGGGAGTTATAAGAAATACAAATGAGCACCCAGCACTATAGCTAAAACTTAGGAACTTTAACCTTTGCTTGTAAAATGGAGAAAAGCCCTGCAATCATCTTTGATTCCATTTCCTCTACAATCTGTACTCCTAATACTCTCAGACCTCATTTTTAACCATTTTTCTCTCTCTTTTTACAGTGGTCTCTCTGATGTTCCTTGAATATACCAAGTAACTTCTACACAAGAGACTTGGCACTTGATTCTCCTAGTGTTTGTAATACAGCTTTCCAGAAGCCCCAGGGCTCTCTCTCTTCCTTTAATTCTTATCTTAAATGTCATCTTACTAGTGAGCCAGTCCTTACATATCATATGAAAAAAACAGTATAAAATGGAACTCTCCATATTCTTCTATATTCTCTTCACTGTGAGATAGAGATACACATACATATACATCACCTATCTATCTAAAACTCTTTCTCCATATACATATGTAAATTTTTTTTTCTTGTGCTACTGGGCATTGAACCAAAGGCCCCAAGCATGTTAGATAAGTTCTTTATCACTGAGCTACTAAAGTTTCTTGGGCCGGCCTTCAACTTGTGATCTTCCTGCCTCAACCTCCTGAGTTGTTAGGATTGTAGGCATATACCACTGTGCCCATCTTGACTTACATTTTTAATGGCCAGTCTTCTCCATCTTGAGTGAAAATCTATAGGAAAAGAGACTCTTCTGTTTTGTAAATTATGATATGCTCAATGCATAGAAAAGTTCTTGCCTTTAACAGATTACAGCTGAATGGATGTTGGAAACTGTTATCTTAATGTACTTCTATCTGCTTTACCTTTGAAAATTCTTGATTTGATTCACCACCATGTGTTTTTCAACAATGTTAAGTAAACATTTTTAAACACAAGCACATTTTATCATAAAATAGGCAAAAAAGGGCAGAAATGATAGAAGAAAATGTAGATATTAAATGACATTCATACCTGACATACTCTGAGAGCTTGGTCCAAGACTGTTTTGGTGTCAGTGTCATAATCTGGGCAGGGCAGCATGGCTCGACTGAGGTGCGCCTGAAGCAGGAGATGGGCTTTGGTGTGAGGGCTGTCAAATGAATGGGGATTTAATTCAACAGGAAGACATTTTGCCAATTCACTGTTCATATGATCTTCATTGTGTCTTACTGGCAAATCTGTGTATTCTTCTGCATCCTGTAAAGCAAAACAAACAAATCCATATACATACACACAAACACTCATGCACATACATATATATATGTCTCTTGTATCAACATCATAATAATTAATGCACTCCTCAGCTTTACCTACTTTTAAACATGGTTTAAAGAAACCATAAATAACCATATCCTTTAGAATTATGCTTTGTTCATTACTATAATAAATATAAAGCAAAAGCTAGTAATGTACAATATTTCTGAACTTCAGGAGTGCTCTTTTGTATTTAACAGTTAACAAAAATAATAGAGGACTTACTAGGCATTACACATTATAATTATGGTGAGGTCACAGCCATGAACAAGAAACTGTGAACCCATCAGGGAAAACAGGCAAACAACTTCTAAAAAGTATAATGAATATTATGGTATGCTACATTCAGAGTGCTGAAAGGACATTCAGTTTGGGGAATCTACTTATTTTAGAGGGTCAGGAAAAGTTTTTGTTTTTTTTTTAAAGCGATGTGTAAGTTAAGATCTGGAGAATAAGTAGAAGAAATAGGGTAAGGCATGGCTGAAGAAAAAGACAAAATTAAAATTGGTAAGTTGAGGAAAGGGTGGAAAGTATGTTCATTAACTTAAAATTTATTGTATCTATTGGATTACAATCCAGTTTTTCTTGAAAAAATATTATGCTTACACTGCTCTACTTTATTAGTGTGTGAAAGAAAAGTCTTATTCTTCCAAATATGTAGTTGAGATTCAGCCTGCTGCTGTTGATATGAAAGTCCTACATCTACAATAACATTAATTGGATGTGTTAATGTATATAATTCTTTGGTATAATTGCAATTATAATGTATATAATTCATTGAATGATTAATAGGGACAGGATTTACTCTTCCCTAGCAACTGCATCCCCTCTATACACAAACAAAAGAAAACATAAAACATATGAAACAGTGACCTTCAAGGCATTGAAGATAGGGGTAGCTATGCAAAACAGTAGCCCTTGAGATAGAGAAAACAAACTAGGTAAGCTCTAATATTGCCCCAGAATACTACATGGAGATTTTCTAGGAAATGGTGCACAGAAGAGGAATCCAAAAGAATTTGGAGGACTCCCCAAATTAAAGAGATGAAGCTGAATGTCCAAGTGGATAAAGTATGCATTACAGTGTACTAAAGGAGAGGGAGAGGGAGTGGTCTTAGCTGGCAAGGGAGAAGAGAGGAAATGAATGTGCACATAAATGCCAAAGATCTGCAGGGGGTCAACCATACATTTTTTTTTTTTTGGTCTTTTTTTTTTTTTTTAATTGGTTGTTCAAAACATTACAAAGCTCATGACATATCATCTTCCATACATTTGATTCAAGTGGGTTATGAACTCCCATTTTTTACCCCAGATACAAGTTGCAGAATCACATCGGTTACACATCCACATTTTTACATAATACCATATTAGTGACTGTTGTATTCTGCTACCTTTCCTATCCCCTACTATCCCCCCTCCCCTTCCCTCTCATCTTCCCTCTCTATCCCATCTGCTGTTGTTTAATTCTCTCCCTTGTTTTTTTTCCCCTTTCCCCTCACAAACTCTTATATGTAATTTTGTGTAACAATGAGGGTCTCCTTCCATTTCCATAGTTTCCCTTCTCTCTCCCTTTCTCTCCCCCCACTCGTCTCTGTTTAATGTTAATCTTTTCCTCATGCTCTTCTTCCCTCTTCTGATCTTAGTTGCTCTCTTTATATCAAAGAAGACATTTGGCATTTGTTTTTTAAGGATTGGCTAGCTTCACTTAGCATAATCTGCTCTAGTGCCATCCATTTCCCTGCAAAATCCATGATTTTGTCATTTTTTAGTGCTGCGTAATACTCCATTGTGTATAAATGCCACAGTTTTTAAATCCATTCATCTATTGAAGGGCATCTGGGTTGATTCCAAAGTCTAGCTATTGTGAATTGTGCTGCCATGATCATTGATGTGGCAGTATCCCTATAGTATGCTCTTTTAAGGTCCTCAGGGAATAGACCGAGAAGGGCGATAGCTGGGTCAAATGGTGGTTCCATTCCCAGCTTTCCTAGGAATCTCCATACTGCTTTCCATATTGGCCGCACCAGTTTGCAGTTCCACCAGCAATGTACAAGTGTACCCTTTTCCCCACATCCTCGCCAGCACTTATTGTTGCTTGACTTCATAATGGCTGCCAATCTTACTGGAGTGAGATGGTATCTTAGGGTGGTTTTGATTTGCATTTCTCTGACTGCTAGAGATGGTGAGCATTTTTTCATGTACTTATTGATAGATTGTATGTCCTCCTCTGAGAAGTGTCTGTTCAGGTCCTTCGCCCATTTGTTGATAGGGTTGTTTGTTATCTTGTTGTTTAATTTTTTGAGTTCTTTGTATATTCTGGATATTAGGGCTCTATCTGAAGTGTGAGGAGTAAAGATTTGTTCCCAGGGTGTAGGTTCCCTATTTACCTCTCTTATTGTTTCTCTTGCTGAGAAAAAACTTTTTAGTTTGAGTAAGTCCCATTTGTTGATTCTAGTTATTAACTTTTGTGCTATGGGCGTCCTATTAAGGAATTTGGAGCCCGACCCCACAATGTGTAGATCGGAGCCAACTTTTTCTTTTATCAGGTGCAGAGTCTCTGATTTGATATCTAGGTCCTCGATCCATTTTGAATTTACTTTTGTGCATGGCGAGAGAAAGGGGTTCAGCTTCATTTTGTTGCATATGGATTTCCAGTTTTCCCAGCACCATTTGTTGAAGATGCTATCCTTTCTCCATTGCAGGCTTTTAGCGCCTTTATCAAATATAAGAAAGTTGTAATTTTGTGGATTGGTCTCTGTGTCCTCTATTCTGTACCATTGATCCACCTGCCTGTTTTGGTACCAGTACCATGCTGTTTTTGTCACTATTGCTCTGTAGTACAGTTTGAAATCTGGTATCGCTATACCTCCCGATTCACACTTCCTGCTTAGAATTGCTTTTGCTATTCTGGGTCTTTTGTTTTTCCATATGAATTTCATGATAGCTTTATCTATTTCTACCAGAAATGCCGTTGGGATTTTGATTGGCATTGTGTTGAACCTGTAGATAACTTTGGGTAATATCGCCATTTTGATGATGTTGGTTCTGCCTATCCATGAACAGGGTACATTTTTCCATCTTCTAAGATCTTCTTCTATCTCTCTCTTTAGGGTTCTGTAGTTTTCATTGTATAAATCTTTCACCTCTTTTGTTAGGTTGATTCCCAAGTATTTTATTTTTTTTGAGGATATTGTGAATGGGGTGGTTTTCCTCATTTCCATTTCAGAAGTTTTGTTGCTGATATACAGGAATGCCTTTGATTTATGCGTGTTGATTTTATATCCTGCCACTTTGCTGAATTCATTTATTAGTTCTAGTAGTTTCTTTGTAGACCCTTTTGGGTCTTCTAAGTATAGGATCATATCGTCCGCAAATAGTGATATTTTAAGTTCTTCTTTTCCTATTTTTATGCCTTTAATTTCTTTTGTCTGTCTAATTGCTCTGGCTAGTATTTCAAGGACTAAATTAAATAGAAGTGGTGAGAGAGGGCATCCCTGTCTTGTTCCAGATTTTAGCGGGAATGCCTTCAGTTTTTCTCCATTTAGAATGATGCTAGCCTGAGGCTTAGCATATATAGCTTTTACAATGTTGAGGTAAGTTCCTGTTATCCCCAGTTTTTCTAGTGTTTTGAACATAAAAGGATGCTGTACTTTGTCGAATGCCTTTTCTGCATCTATCGAGACGATCATATGGTTCTTATCTTTAAGTCTATTGATGTGGTGAATAATATTTATTGATTTCCGTATATTGAACCAACCTTGCATCCCAGGGATGAATCCTACTTGATCATGGTGCACAATTTTTTTGATATGCTTTTGTATTCGATTCGCCAGGATTTTATTGAGAATTTTTGCACCTATGTTCATTAGAGATATTGGTCTGTAGTTTTCTTTCTTTGAAGTGTCTTTGTCTGGTTTAGGTATCAGGGTGATGTTGGCCTCATAGAATGAATTTGGAAGAGCTCCTTCTTTTTCTATTTCTTGGAATAGCTTGAAAAGTATTGGTATTAATTCTTCTTTGAAGGTTTTGTAAAACTCCGCTGTATACCCATCTGGTCCAGGGCTTTTTTTCGTTGGTAGTCTTTTGATGGCTTCTTCTATTTCTTCCTTTGTTATTGGTCTGTTTAAATTGTGTGTGTCTTCCTGACTCAATCTGGGCAGCTCATATGACTTAAGAAATTTATCGATGTATTCAGTGTCTTCTATTTTATTAGAATATAGGGTTTCAAAATACTTTCTGATTATATTCTGTATTTCTGTAGTGTCTGTTGTGATATTGCCTTTTTCATCCCGTATGTTAGTGATTTGAGTTTTCTCTCTTCTTCTCTTCGTTAGCATGGCTAAGGGTCTGTCGATCCTATTTATTTTTTCAAAGAACCAACTTTTAGTTTTATCAATTTTTTCAATGGTTTTTTTTGTTTCAATTTCGTTGATTTCCGCTCTGATTTTAATTATTTCTTGTCTTCTGCTATATTTGCTGTTGTTTTGCTCTTCCTTTTCTAGGGTTTTGAGATGTAGTGTGAGTTCGTTTATTTGTTGGTTTTTTCTTTTTTTGAGGAATGAACTCCAGGAAATGAATTTCCCTCTTAAAACTGCTTTCATTGTGTCCCATAGATTCCGGTATGTTGTGTCTGAATTGTCGTTTATCTCTAAGAATTTTTTGATTTCCTCCTTTATGTCTTCTGTAACCCATTGATCATTCAGTAACATATTGTTTATTTTCCATGTGATGCAGGATTTTTCCTTCCTTCTTTTTTCATTGATTTCCAGTTTCATTCCATTATGATCAGATATGGTGCATGGTATTATCTCCACTCCTTTATATTTACTAAGAGTTGCCCTATGGCATAATATATGATCTATCTTTGAGTACGATCCATGTGCTGCTGAGAAGAATGTGTATCCACTTGATGATGGTTGATATATTCTATATATGTCGGTTAA